TGGGACCCATAACTGTTGTAATTCACAGTATTGCTTGGGTTATACGGAGTTAAACCTCCACCAGGTCAGTAAAACTGGAAATCAATGTCTTTTAATGGTGTAAGCAGTTTCAAAGTGCTTTGTTGTAAAACAGGGGGAGAGGTTTTGAGCTTACCAAAATAAAGTGCTTCAAACTAGGTGTTTTTTACCTTTTTTGGATCAACAGCAAAAAACAAATGTGAGGAAGGCTGAACTTGATGGACGCATGTCTCTTTTCAGCATATGTAACTATGTAACTCTTGTTCGGCAAGAGTCAGAGGAGATCACACACTATCTTGCCATTAATACCCACATAATCAGGGCATAGTGGTGGGTCAATAGGTCTGTTTTTCTTTTAACCTCCTTAATAGCAAAAATTAGTATAAACGTTTTGTTTTCATGTTTTTTTTCATTATATAATTTAGCCCATAAAGCCTCATTCACCCTCCTTTATATTGTAGTTATAATTATCAGCCTGTAGAGGAATTAATTTCTCTGCTACTAGTTATATATTGCCTGTGACAATGCTTCAGGGCTGGTGCAAGGATTTTTGCCACCCTAGGCAAACCAAAATTTGCTGTCCCCCATATGCTCTGCCCACCATGTGACACCCTCATACGCACACTGCCCCCATACACACAGTGCTCCCACTGCACCCCACATATACACATTGCACTCCCATGTATACACTACACCCCTCACACAAACACACACTGCCCCTCCTACACACAGTGCTCCCACTGCACCCCCTACAAACAGTGCTCCCACTGCACCCCCATACACACACTGTCCGACATTCACACACTGCACCCCTCACACACACTGCCTCCCATACCCAACCTGCATCCCTCACACACTCAGTGCCTCCCATACACAGACACACATTACTAGAGGCCCTATCCTCTACTTATGCCCCTATCCTGGCAGATCCCAGGTAAATTGTCAAACTGTTCTTAAACAGTTTGACTATTTATTCTGGGAAGGTGCCACGGCACTCCTGGATTGTTTCTTTAAATAATCTACGAGTGCCCCTCCCGAGATAAGAGGGACACTACAATGTTAGGATTCCATCTCTGTATTCCTAACACTATAGTGTTTCTTTAATCCTAGATGCCAGACAATTGAGAAGTGACACTGAAGGGGCATAATCTACACACCAAAACTGCTTCATTAAGTGGTGACTATAGTGTCCCTTTAATTGCTTTCAAATGGAAAAGCACAAAGAAAGTGCTTTGTGCTTTTGGAACAGATATACCTTAGTTATACTTATGAAGCAATGGTAGTGCTTACATTAAAGCAACAACATTGCTTTGACCACATCTGATCCCCATGGATTTCTCTCTTACAGCGTACACAGAACCTTACCCATCTGGATGACTGGGTGAAAGTTTTAAATGATATGCCATGCTAGCTAGGCATGCAATACCATGTATCAATTACCCTCTTCGGTAAAGAGAGAGGCAATATGCCATTTGATGTTGAAAATGGTCTTAAACTGTAATGCTGCAGATATTAAAGTATTCTTGTATAGAAGCTGAATCTTGAAATTCTATGTGTTTTCATTGAATTGATTTTTTTCTTCTCCACCTTTTTACTCTCTATACACTGGATAAGAAAAACCTTTAAATAAAGTGCAATAAAAAAAGCAATTTTCCTTTAAATGTCATCAGGGATTTATCTATGCATGTGTTCTGGTCAGGGGTATATAGGTGATACTCGAAAATTAGAATATCATGCAAGAGTTCATTTATTTCATTAATGCAATGTAAAAGGGGAAACTAATATATGAGATAGACACATTACATTCAAAGCAAGACAGTTCAAGCCGTGATTTGTCATAAGTGCGATGATTATGGCTTACAGCTCATGAAAACCCCAAATCCACAATCTCCGTAAATTAGAATATTGTGAAGAGGTGCAATATTCTAGGCTCACAGTGTCCCACTCTAATCGGCTAAGTAAGCCATAACACCTGCAAAGGATTTCTGAGCCTTTAAATGGTCTCTCAGTCTGGTTCAGTAGGAATCACAATCATGGGGAAGACTGCTGACCTGCAGAAAACCATAATTGACACCCTCCATAAGCCGGGAAAGCCTCAAAAGGTAATTGCTAAGGAAGTTGGATGTTCCCAAAGTGCTGTATCAAAGCACATTAATAGGAAGTTATGTGGAAGGGAAAAGTGTGGAAGAAAAAGATGCACAAGCAGCAGGGATGACCGCAGCCTGTAGAGGATTGTCAGGAAAAGGCCATTCAAAAGTGTTGGGGACTTTCACAAGGAGTGGACTGAGGCTGGTGTCAGTACATCAAGAGCCACCACACACAGACGAATCCTGGAAATGGGCTTCAGATGTTGTATTTGGGCTTCAGATGTTGTATCTTGTCAAGCAGCTCCTGAACAACAAACAACGTCAGAAGCGTCTTACCTGGGCTAAAGAAAAACAGACCTGGTCTGTTGCTCAGTGGTCCAAAGTCCCTTTTTCTGATGAGAGCAACTTTTGCATCTCATTTGGAAACCAAGGACGCAGAGTCTGGAGGAAGAATGGAGAGGCACACACTGCAAGATGCATGAAGTCCAGTGTGACGTTTCCACAGTCTGTGTTGATTTGGGGAGCCATGTCATCTGCTGGTGTTGGTCCACTGTGATTCATTAAGTCCAGGGTCAATGCAGCCGTCTACCAGGAGATTTTGGAGCACTTCATGCTTCTTCCACAGACGAGCTTTATGGGGATGCTGACTTCATTTTCCAGCAGGAAAAACCAGAGACTGTGGGATTACTGTGCCTGATTGGCCACCAAACTCGCCTGACCTGAACCCCATAGAGAATCTATGGGGCATTGCCAAGAGAAAGATGAGAGACATGAGACCCAACAATGCAGAAGAGCTGAAGGCCGCTATTGAAGCATCCTGGTCTTCCATAACACTTCAGCAGTGCCACAGGCTGATAGCTTCCATGCCACGCCACATTGAGGCAGTAATTGCTGCAAAAGGGGCCCAAACAAAGCACTTAGTCCATATACATGCTTATACTTTTCAGAGGTCCGATATTGTTCTATGTACACTCCTTGTTTTATTGATTGCATGTAATATTCTAATTTCCTGAGATTGTGGATTTGCGGTTTTCATGAGCTGTAAGCCATAATCATTGCACTTGCATGACATCATTGCATGACAAATCATGGCTTGAACTATCTTGCTTTGCATGTAATGTGTCTATCTCATATATTAGTTTCCACTTTTATGTTGCATTACTGAAATAAATTTACTTTTGCACGATATTCTAATTTTTCGAGTATCACCTGTATGTTTCCCCCATAATCTGGAGGACTGTAGATGGTGTTGAAAAGAAAATAGATTCAGGAAGCACCCAACCTATTTTCTCACATGAGTCCAGTAAATATCATGGTTAGGACTTTCCAGTTGTATTATGGACATGCCACTCCCCAAATTATAAAAAAAAAAACCCACTGTTTGGTAGACATACCTGGAATGGAAAAATGAATTTCATTAAGCATTTTTATTGGGAGAATATCCAAAAAGAGATGGCAAAAGGTGCACTTCTCTTGTCTGAAGCCTTTGCAAGTCTTGTCCTTCTCATCCACCCCAGACTTTCTGTGACTTCCCAATCACAGATTTCCCAATGCAGCTCTAGTCTTTACAAGGCAGGTGCTCTGAACAAATGTCTGCCTATTGAGTTTAGCTCCACTGATCTAAACTACCAACATTCTCTGATGGAAATACTGTAGCCACTATTTTTTTACTAAAATAAAAATGTATTAAAGTCTTGGCAATCGAGACAATATTGTCTTATTATATTTGATATTTTTTCTATAAAGACAAATATATGGGCACATGTTTCTTCAATTTTAAAACTTGAAGAAACATTATCATTTTTTCTCATTTTAGACTAATCTGTCATTACAGCAGTGATATTTTCATTTTATGTAGACTAGTTGTAATAATAAATATGTGCTATGTAATGAGAAATTATTATTTACATAATTATGATTAAAAAAACAAAAAAAATCATATGAAATATATTGAAAGGAAGCAAATCAAAATACAAAAAAGCATTATCCACTACATACACTATATCCACTATACACTATCCAAAATAATGGTGTAGAAAAAATAATAGTGAATAATAATAATAATAATAATAGAAATAAAATAGTGCCTATCAGCTTCAATCAACTGCATCTGCAGAGATAGCAGGCATAGCCATGCTGCGAGACTCAACAAAGCCACTACAATGAAAGGTATTTGAAAAAACAATTATAATACTTTTTTTTTTTCTATAACGAGTTTTAAACAAGACCTGCAGATGGGGTTGACTTGTGCAGTAAACTGCCATATACTTTATATTATTGCAAGAAGCAAGTTCCAGCTTATAATTGCCAAAGCACAAGCAGTGGAAAAGATTCAGGAGGCAAGTGTACACTAGCTGCCAGAGAAAATACTGGGCTGCTGTGTGTCACTCTCTCCTCTTCTAATTCATTTGGCTCATCATACTTATATGTGGATGACAAATGCTGGGATATGACAAACTAAAAAACAACCAACAATATTGTACCTTATACACCTTAATATATATGCAAAAGATACTTATCAAACGAAGATGAATACAGCCTCCCTCAGATCGCTTCCCAGCTAGCGATCAACTTGACAGCAAAATGTAGAAAAAACAACGAGGGAACCGGCTGATAATCTCTACAAAAGTAAATAGAGAAAATATAGTGTAATACAGTTTACAGTATAGACATTGCGCAAATTGAAATGCACTCACTGGATTTTGGACAAATTGAAGCTTGTAAGGTGCCTTCCCCGATAGTAGGGGGGGCTAGGGAAATCCCCTGGATATTTTCACTCCAACACAGGACTCCGGGTGAAGTTTGAAAAATTGGCTTTAATTCAATATTAAAATAAGTTTAAAAAAGAATAAAATAAATATAAATAAGGTCCTACGCGTTTTGTCCCTTTAACAAAATAGGGACTTCCTCAGGGACCACAATATAAGAAACAATTTGATACAGTACAATCAAAAAACAGCTGTTTTTTGATTGTACTGTATCAAATTGTTTCTTAATATTGTGGTCCCTGAGGAAGTCCCTATTTTGTTAAAGGGACAAAACGCGTAGGACCTTATTTATATTTATTTTATTCTTTTTTAAACTTATTTTAATATTGAATTAAAGCCAATTTTTCAAACTTCACCCGGAGTCCTGTGTTGGAGTGAAAATATCCAGGGGATTTCCCTAGCCCCCCCTACTATCGGGGAAGGCGCCTTACAAGCTTCAATTTGTCCAAAATCCAGTGAGTGCATTTCAATTTGCGCAATGTCTATACTGTAAACTGTATTACACTATATTTTCTCTATTTACTTTTGTAGAGATTATCAGCCGGTTCCCTCGTTGTTTTTTCTACATTTCATCATACTTATAGTCAAGTAGCTCCTATGCCAGATGTAAAAGGGCTTTGTCTGCAGTTTTGGAGGAAACAGAATTATCATTAATGGATTCATCACCATCATAATCAAAAAGACAAGACTACGGGGACACTACTTTAGTACTGTACTCTAAGCCTTTACTAAAGAGAGGCTCTGATGACTCACACAAAATAGACACTGCTGTGCTTTTCCTTAGTTACTTCTTGGGAGTGGGGCTCCAAGAAGTTATAATGATTTAACTAGCTGTGGTAGAAGAAGCTGCATTGCCAGTTATAGTAGCATGTATAAGATGAGGAAAAAATTATTCCCTCGTGGGTGTTGAATTGCATGTAACAGACATGATGCTAATCCTACTATTCTTAAGCTGTATACTACTAACAGTGGTGGTGGAGGTGTCAGCAGTCCTCATGGCCAATGAAGAAGTTTTCAATCTCTCAGAGATTATGGCATTACTGGTGATGGTGGATTGGGGAACACTACCCCTTCTCTTACCCTCCCTCAATTGATTATTTGGATTAGGACAACAATGCTGTTTTTCAATTACAATAGCTTTGGGATATGAATGTTTGTGTATTGCATTAAATGACACAACATTATTAAGCAAAAATAAGAGTTTGTGTTCTAAAATGTGTTAGTGCATGGTGGATTTACTACTGTAACCTATATACCCCCCTAGAGGCCACCCCACACATAAATACTATAAACAACCCACACACAAACATACACGCAAACCTTTTGCAGATACCACTCCCATATACCACACCACTGATAGTCCACATGCACAGACAAATCAACCCCTCAACACACACAACACTATACAACACAATATGATGTACAGCCCACATATACAATAAACACAGCCAACACAATCACTTTATGCAACCCCCCATATACAACCCACATACATAGCAGATATGTGAATTGTGAAAAAATGTAATTTCATTTGTGCAGAATCAAAGTGCCCAGAAAAATAATTTCGGGAGATATGTCCATGTAGGGTTGCAGTTAAGAATACTTTTGTCCATGCACTCATTTCAGTTAAAAATGATTCAGACCAAAGTGGCACAAAACTTGGCCAATCAATATACTGAAAAATATAAATATGTACACATTTTGCAGTATACTGCAAATAGAAGTAGTAACCAACAGAGGGAAATAGAGGAGGAGCAGTATATATATATATATATATATATATATATATATATATATATATATAAAAATTATAATATATGAGTATATAGATATGGATTTTATTTTTTATTGAAAAACAATATTTGGGTCCGCCTGAACTATTTATTGATCAGGTGATTGGCTGGCACAATCTTTCAAGAATGTTGTTCATTTGATCTCCCATCTCCCCCAGCCCTCCTAACTCCTTTCTTTCTCTTCTTCTGTCCTTTCTCCCTTATCTATAATTAAACTTCTAAGAACAGAGCAAGGTGACGGTAACTAGCTCAAGACCAAGATCACAGGAGTTGGCGAAAATATATAGGTACTGCTACAGAGGAAAGTTGTGGCAGAATTCACACCAAACTAGGTTATCCACATGAAATAACAGAAATTAAAACAAGCCTGAATTGTGTAAACAACGGAAGTGAAAAAGCATACTACAAATTGTATTATTCAAGATGACCTGCTATGTAAAATGCTGTTCCTTCTGTGTCAACCTCTATGTATATAATATAGCTTTCTTACCATTGTACTCATGGTACTCTGTACCATGTACTAATTGCCATGTCCACATCCTAATGCCACGTAAAATGTACATACATAATGTTCATGTACAATTGTGATAATATGTACTATATGTCTACATGAGCTCTTAAATTAAATATTAAAAAAAATGTTGTTCCTCTAAACAGTGTTTGTTATTGCATATTCCTGACTTAATATTAATATACATATTACACATAACACAATTAAATTTAAGTTCCTCAACATTGACTCTCAGTCTAATTAATAGAAACAATTGCTAAAATGTAACACATTATTAAATAAGATTTAGTTTTTAAATATAAATATTTTAGTACGAATAAGGCAATTGAGATCTGTACTTGTAAATAAAAATAAATTAAAAAAAAGACAAGCTTTTAATGGTAATGACCTTGAGGTAGTTGAAATAAAAAAATCCATTATCATTTCATGAAAGCAGAAGAAAAAAAAAGCCTCCAAATTTAAATAATCTGTTTTTATATCACATCTCTTTATGGAAAGTATGTATTATAAACAATTTTACGGTCACTGAAAATTGATTCTTAAAACAAAGCCATGTTCCAGTGAACTGTTCCATGACTTCTATTTTTCACAAAGAGATATTATTCTGCAATGTCACCGTCACCTGGTTGCCTTGATGCATCAATGTTACAATCAACGATGATTATATGAATGGCAGAGCAGTTCACTTCACAAAGTGAAATTTTCAATTTGATGGCTGCAATAAATGAACTGTTTCCAGGGAAAGACAGAATAGAATTTGTAGATTGATGCATCTACTATATAGTTTTGACTTAAAGTACTTATTTGGATAAACATTTTTTTCAGTCTGTCAGTGACATCAGCCAATTTTCAAGAGTGAGAGTTGAATTTGAATTAAGATATGATTTAGAAGCATTCAAATATTTTTAGATACACTGAGTGAATATAGTATTATTATGTAATCATACTGTGACATGGTAAATGTAAATATATGAATATATATATATATATATATATATATATATATATATATATATATATCTTTATAAGTCTTTTCAGCTTTGCACTCCTACTTATTAATGCATAAATACCTGTGTTGAACTGATGACAGTTCATATGGTGAACTTAAATGTTGACAAACTTAGATAATTCTTAAGTAAAGAAGCAGAGAAACCACAGTGCCCTGGTGCGAAAATTGCCCTAGGGCACCCCAATGAATCCCTCCTCTCAGCCCCTCCATGTGTACATTATAACACGTAAAGATACATAAACGGACACACATGCTGATGCACAGACACACAGAATGAAATACATTCAGGTACACAAAATTATACTTCTACAGATACAAACACTGACTCACATACAGATACACAGAAATACACTAACACACATGCGGATACACAGACTCCCATATAGACCGACAGATACACATATCGACACATGTAGATACACATATACAGAATGGCACTGATACAAATATAAACAGTGACACACATACAGACACATAGGGGCACACACTGACACACATGCAGACAAGCAGATACACCTACAGACACAAGTGCAGAAAAACAGATATACATACATACAGATACACATACAGCCACATACAGACAAACAGATACACATACAGACACAGATGCTGTGACAAAAGTAACCTCATCAGTGGCTTTTGGAGGGGCCTGCTGGCCAGCTTCTTGTCTCAGGACTATGGGCCCTGTGATATACCTTGCCCAATGCACTTTAAAAGGCTCTGTTCATGTGAAGTATGCACTTTTGTACTCCAGACAGAGAGACCGACCGTTAGCCCTAATTCTCTGGAACTGTTTTGGTCATGGGATCATGTGCACGGTGGGTCAAAACTATGACTTCCAGGAAATTCCTGAACTCCTGAACCAATCTGGGTGATTTTTGGATATGCGGTTTGCCCAGATCAGGGTTATCAGGGGAAGTGTTGTATTTTGGGGTACTTATTGGATTTTGTAAAAATGTGTGTTTTTTCTGCCGGGGTCCCTGTGCCCAACAAGGTCCACCTGGGCGTCAAGGTCCACCTGGGCAGTGCATCTTACAGGGAGAGGAGACAACCGGTCTCTCTCCCCAGCGGCAGTGCATTTCACAGGGAGAGGAGACAACTGGTCTCTCTCCCCAGCAGCGGACAGTGTTACTGGGATTGGAGATAGTTGGTTTCACTAAGCAGCACCAGGCAGAGTCACATGGAGAGGAAACATAGAAACATAGAATGTGACGGCAGATAAGAATCATTCGGCCTATCTAGTCTGCCCAATTTTCTAAATACTTTCATTACTCCCTAGTCTTATCTTATAGTTAGGATAGCCTTATGCCTATCCCACGCATGCTTAAACTCCTTTACTGTGTTAACCTCTACCACTTCAGCTGGAAGGCTATTTCATGCATCCACTACCCTCTCAGTAAAGTAATACTTCCTGATATTATTTTAAACCTTTGTCCCTCTAATTTAAGACTATGTCCTCTTGTTGTGGTAGTTTTTCTTCTTTTAAATATAGTCTCCTCCTTTACTGTGTTGATTCCCTTTATATATTTCAATGTTTCTATCATATCCCCCCTGTCTCGTCTTTCCTCCAAGCTATACATGTTAAGATCCTTTAACCTTTCCTGGTAAGTTTTATCCCGCAATCCATGAACCAGTTTAGTAGCCCTTCTCTGAACCCTCTCTAAGGTATCAATATCCTTCTGAAGATACGGTCTCCAGTACTGTGTACAATACTCCAAGTGAGGTCTCACCAGTGTTCTGTACAATGGCATGAGCAATTCCCTCTTTCTACTGCTAATACCTCTCCCTATACAACCAAGCATTCTGCTAGCATTTCCTGCTGCTGTATTACATTGTCTGCCTACCTTTAAGTCATCAGAAATAATCACCCCTAAATCCCTTTCCTCATATGTTGAGGTTAGGACTCTATCAAATATTCTGTACTCTGCCCTTGAGTTTTTAC